ATCCACGTTTCAAATTTGGTTGGTTTTCACACAAGGAACAGGGTTGTCTTACTTTTTTTCTTTCTTTTTTTTTTTTTTTTACCATTTCTCCAAATTCTAATTACAGTCTCTTATTCTTTTTTTTTTTTTTTTTGTATAATTTTTCCTTATTAAAATACCTAGTAAGCTATTTTATTATTGAACCAATTATTTTTCCTTATTTATTAAATTAATTTTGTGGTTGTTGTAATGAGTAAGCCCTGTTATAAAGAAATTGAAAAGTTCATGTGTGGCCACTGCCCACGTTTATCATAAACAAATTCATATCAGTAGTTGCTTGCATGTCTAATAACATTATAATGCCTACTTTTTCCACACGCAAAATCAACTTCTTTATCTGCATTCCCACTCATACCTTTTCAAATCTCTCTCTTTTTTCTTTGCTTCATGCCAAGAATAGTTAAGACTTCATTCTAAGTTTACCTAACATCCTAAATACTAAAAGGTTACACCACAGTTGGTGCACTGGTAATGGTCTCGCAAGTTTGCACATGCTGGAAGTTAGATTTCATGTTACATCGGTGTTGATAGTAATATATAGACACTCTTGATTTACATGGACAGTTAACAAATTTTCAGACACTTGTATCTCCATGTTTTATTTTCAAATTGATGGTTAGATAGAGCATTTAAACTACGTTCTAGAAGACAAGATCGGAAACATAGGATTGTATTAGTATTGCCAACTTATTTTTTAAAAAGAGTTTATACATCTAAACTCGTCTTCAACCTATTCCAACCTTTTACAAACTTTGGACTTACAGCTAAAATAAAGTATAATTTTGGTTGTTGTAATGTATAAGCCCTATTATACTCTATGCTCCACGTGTTTAATGGACATTTTCTCCCTATTCAGCATATTTGAAATTGCATGTTAAATTGTATGCTAGATTCATATGAATGCTTGTATGGATTATGTGTGCTTAGTTGATTGATAAAAGTATCTCTCTAAGAAGCTTCATGAACATTTAGATTATGTTTTCAATGCTCAATGTGATTGATAAAATATCTCCCTAGTGCAACATGCATGAAACAAAATAAGATCATGGTGCCAGTGCTATGGGATTCTTGAACTAGGCCAAAAGTTTTTATTGCCTGAAAAAAAACATATGATAACTTACTAGACTAAAGATGACTAAGGATGGGATGAGAGCCTACACTTAATATATTTTTTTACTCACTATTTCCTTTTTTTTTTTTGTTTTTTTTTTCATGTTCGCAAGTTGTAGGTCAAAGTGGAAAAGCGTTTGAGAGTTGTGCGGTCATAGAAGGATTGTTCTGGAGGGTCAGTACGTCTTTGTATTTTGAGTCATTTATATTTTGATTTATAAATGTATCCCAAACCTATTTTCCGTTGGTAATCAAATAGATCAGTACCATCTGATAATTGAATTTTATTTTGTCTATAATTTTGATCAAATAGATCAGCACCGTCTGATCATTGAATTTTATTTTGTCTATAATTTTGATGTTATATGTCTTAATTGAATTTAATTTTAAATTTAATGGCATTTTCTTATTTAACTTTTATTTTTTAGTTTCAATCTGAGCTTCGAAACCTCGAATTACAAAATATCTCCCCACTCATTTCTTCATTCTGGGCTCTGCTTGAGATGGATCCATAGGATGTGTTGTATATCAACATGTTTGTATCCAATGAACGATCGGTTGATGTTTCTTGGGCAACGACCCCCTAGAAAATAGTTTAAATCAGAGCATTGATGCTATAGATTTATTATATTGTATTATATTAAATTTTCTACATAAACAAACAAACAGTTGACTTTATTTAAGGCAAACAGGTAGTTGAATTAAAAATAAAAATATTTTATTTGAACTTGGCGTGGGGAGCAAGCGTTCAATGCAGAGCTAACAAATTCACTTCCCATTGTTATATAACCCAATCAAGATATGGTTCCATTTAATCCCCGACTACAGCTACCATTTTCTTCCATTTACTGGGCCCATTTGTAGCACCCGTTGTTTTTATTTTGAGGTATCAAACGTCTTCTCTCTTTTTCTTGCTCTGTTTTTCCCCTGTAGTATCAGTAGTTATGAAAATTTTCAATTGCAACAATAAATTTAATGTGTAAGTTTAGAATTGGATGCATTTTCATTCGGTGTTTTTCAATGGCTTTTTCCTAGCTCGAAGTTGTTTTTGCATTAGGCAAATAAAAGCGCCATGGAAGAAGGTGAATTATATTGTAAAGAGAAGAAGGTGAGGGAGGAAGGATCAGAAGTTGCTGGTGAAGTGGCGATATTAGATTATTCTGATGATGAACGCCAATTGTTCGATGAAATGCGTGTTCGAGGTCGGCATTTTTATTTTGCCAAGGTTTTGCCAATTGAGAACCCAAAGATGGATGCCATGATTAAGAAGGCTGAAGAGACGATTGAGAAGATGAATCGAGATCAAGTTGTGACGGCCCAAAAGATAAGGGAAAGGATGGTATGTGAAAAGAACCCTAGTTTTTCTTTTTAGAACATTTTGGTTAAGTCTCCTGGTTTGGCACTTGCTTATGTGAGCTCTGAATAATGGAGGATTGGAATGAATTTTGTTCATAGATGGATCGTGACGCACTGCGCTCGAAATTGAACCGGATGAATTGTGGCAATTATGAACTCGCCCTAAAATGGAAGAGAAATAGTTTGGACTTCCTGTATCCCTCTCTAGACAAACTGACTTTTGCAAACAATGCATATAGAGGGAAATCGGTTAACTCGTGCTTGTCGGTAGGGGAAGTTGATAAGCAAGTATGGTGAATTGAACTCTTTCTTGTGTATTTTTGCAACACTTCCGATCTTCTTCATCTTATGCTGTTTATTTATCGTTGTGTCACCAGAAACTGTGTTTCTTGATGGTACATGGCTGTAAAAACATGGGTGACGAGAGAAAGCTATTAAGGGAAGTCAATGCAATGCAAGGGAAGGATGGTGGCATGACATTGGATGAACTCCGTGCTCCTGTAATATTCAAACTTGAGCGTCAATACAATATCCAATTTTACTTGTCGTTTTTAATGTCATGACCATTAATACTTGATGAATTATCATCTCTCTTAAGCTTCTGCGTTCTCATGAACAGATTCAACACTTGCAACAACGATTGTCCATCAACTATGTGGCGCATACAGAAATCGATGAAAATGCTCGTAGTGAAGTCATTCTCAATGCCGAAAAGCAACATGAAATTATTAGGGAGACAGCATTGGCTAATGCTGTAGTGAATGGAAAATTGTGGAACTCCCTTGGCTCGAAAAAGTCCATTCAACAGCAAGTAAGAGCCAAAACTAAAATTTAGGAGGGTTCTTTGACTGTATAGCTTACAACTAAAAAATCTCCATCTTTTTGTACGTTGAAAGGTTCAGGAACTCAACAATAGATCATGTGAACTAAGGGAAAGACAGAGAGAAGTAAATGCCAAAGTTGAGAAAGTAAATAAAGAAGTTAAGATGATAGAAAAAGATATACGTTCTCTACAAAAGCTCTTCACATATGCAAATCGCAAAAAGGACGAGGCATACAACAACATTCTTAAACTGAAGAGGCAGTATGGGGAGGAGGTACCTATGATTAGAAGCTCTAAATACTTTCATTTATTTATTTTGATGTGAGTTCAGTTGTACTGATATACATTGTGGTATTTCGTGTTAGAATGCTTCCTACTACCAATACCGTTCCCTCATGCGGAAGGTCCAAGTACTTGGTAAGAGGAAAGATACCGCAGCCATTCAAGAATTATCTCAAACACAGGTTGTTCCTATAATCCCTTGTTTGTTTATGAAGTGGTGGGGGGTTATTGTGTTTTTGTTAACAACTTTTGAAAGCTGATTTTTCCATTACACAAACAGGTTGAAAAGTTCATGCAACAGTGGAACAATAACCTAGATTTCAGAAACGATTACAAAAAGAGAGTTATCCCGCTTCTAAACAACCGTCATCTTGGCGTGGATGGGAGTATGATCACCAACCAGAAGGCAGAGGTTAAGGACTCTAAAAAAGCTCCTAAACCAGAGGCGCTTTCTAAAGCTAGATTGAAATGGTTGATGAAAGATACTGAAGATCCCTCCGAACTTCTTTTTCGGTGAAACTAAGGCGATAAACCCCTTTGCACATATGCTTCAAGTTTCAACTTTGATCCATTTATTCCTTAAACTTCTCCTTTTCTTGAACAACATTTCTCCCACATCATGTTCAAAAGTGTTTTACAAAGCTAGTTTTTCTGTGAAGTCATTTCCCCACTTGGAACTTTTGTTTGGAAGCCTATGAATTCAAAAAATATATAAAAAAAATAAAAACAAACCAAACCTTGCTACGATGATGTTCCTTTGTGACATGAATGTGCCACCTACAGTCATGCCTATAAGCTACTGTAGCAGAATGAAGATTGTCCCTCCATATTAACTAGGGAATCATTCATATGTTCTCTTATATAAATCTCATAGAAAATCACAAGCACAGCTCTAAAAAGAAAGATACGAAAGATACACCTTATTCACATTTAAGTAACAAATAAAAATAAATAAATGAGGCATCATTACAAGTAAGAGAGAGAGAAGGGTTGGAAAGGTGACCATCAGAAATTGGTTCGACCAAATCACAATGCTTAATTAGTAAGCAAAAATCCAACTTCCCATTTAACAAAAAGATATTATTATAAACTCAATATGCATTTTCTTTCCCATTTTCCTTCTCATTTTCTGACCAGCCAAACATATTGAACTAAAAAAAATATTAAAAAAAAAAAAAAAAAAAGGCATATTTCTCAAAAGCTGATCAAAGATGGGACCCTACCTATATATTCCATTTGCCACATAACACCTACCTTACTTTTTTTTCATTATTAATATTAATAACATTGGAATTTAATCTCTCTCATTTTGGGTCTCAAAAAAGAATAATAATAAAGAAAAGAAGTGGAAAAATATCAAAATATTCTCACTCTCTTTTTTTCTGAATTTCTAATTTGGACCCCAAAGACTCCATAGACGAGAATTAAATAACCCTAACACGTCCGGCCATACCTTCCGGGCCAAACCCTTGTGGTTGCTCGGCGGCGACGAAGGGACAACCACCATCGCAGCCCGCGCCTCAGTCCGTGGCAGTTCTCCACTTCCCTCTGCCGCTTCAACACCACCACTCACAGATGTCGCTGGAGCCACAGAACCGTCATCAATCGCCAACGGAAGAACTTCAGGCAACGGCGGCGGCGACAGAGGAGCAACATCGACAGGCTTCTCCGATGATCGGCGGCCGATTTTGTCCTTCCTCTTGCATTTGATGTTCTTGCCGGATTTTTCTCCGTTGGCCAATTGCTCTTCGAAAGCCTCAATGGCCTGATGAATTAGCTCGCCGTTCGGCGACGAGTTCCATCGGTTCCAGTAACTCATATAACAGTCAAAGCAACTAAGAGACGGCGGCGCGTGAACACACACGCTACCCGAATTGGCTCGTGGAGCACCGGATTTCTTCGAACCTCTCTTGGAAAATTTATTTTCCGATGGGGAAGACGACGGCGTTGACGTCTCCATGGATCTTCTCATCATGAAAGCCAAAACCTCTCGATCGTCGATGGTCAGAACCGTGAGAAGAGCCAAAATCGCCGCCGGAAGATAGTTGAAGACATCAAAGAAGTCCCCATCGGAAGAAGACGAAGGAGAAGAAGATGGAGATGGATGGACTTTACCTTTGTTCTTTATTTTCATGGCGGCCACTTTTTTTTTCTTTTTTTTTTTTTTCTTTTGGAGGGTTCCTGGACACAAACGAAATGGGTATTCGTATCTCTGGTTTTAACCTTCTAAGCTTCTAGGAAAATGGTGGGTTTTAGAGAGAGAGACTGATTTTGTTTGTTCGGACTTCAATTTACTTGGAAATTAAGGCAGAAGAGAGAGAGAGAGAGAGAGAGAGAGAGAGAGAGAGAGAGAGAGAGGTTGCTGGTCATTGTTTTTTACTACACTTTTTGGGTTCATTTAGAAATTTGGTTCCCTCTTCTCTGCTCAAATTTGACTTAAAAAAACAAAAACCCTAAGTTCATCAGTTATTTAAAATTTTACTGAATTTTAAAAAATTGCAATTTTTCCCTTCAGTTTTAATAAACATTGGCAAACCAAGAAATGTGGGACTATATTTGGATAAAATGTGAGATTTAATTTAAGAGAGCATGTTTATATGCTTGGGTCTTCCCCTAGGATATTCATTTTGGGCTCTTTCTTCGCCATTTATTCGGGTTCTCCACTCCGCCTTAATTTCATCTTCTACAATGGAAATGGGCCCAAAACTTCATATTACAAGCGCCACAAATACACTTTGGGACATGTATTCATATAGTTCTTGAGGTTGGAAAACAAAATGTAATAGTTCATATACTTCCCAATACACCCAATCATAATTTTGATATATAATATGATGTAACCTATAAATATATCTCTATAACACATAAACTTTAGAGTACAAATTCTTAAACATAAGAAAGGATATAGATACGCACATGCTTGGGGAGAATCTTTACTTTGATTATTTAAGAATCTTCCAAAACAAAAGTATGTAAATGAAACCATACCATTTTTATAAAAGCTTGCAAATGCCCAACTTCTTTGAAGCTTCCAGATTGGAAGGATTCATTAATTTAGTAACCATCTCTTTTTTCAAAAACCTATTTTTATATAGTATTTCAAATTAAGCAAACATTTGGAAAATGTCTTAAGCAAACATCTGTACATTTTAAGAATACAATATTTAATCAACATTTGAAACCAACATAATTTACAAACACTCCAAACCAATTTAAATATTTCAAACGCTCCAAACCAATAACTCCCAGTAGTGGAAAGCATGTGAAGAATGGAGGTTAAAACCCAGAAAAGAAGGAAAATAAGAAATTAAAAGAAAAGGAAAAAAAAAAAAAAAGATTATAATATTATTCTCTATGCTTCTTTAACTTTTCAAAAAGTTACCACACAATTATTAAAGTGTAGCATTGTTTGAATCCCACCACCAAAATATCTTATTTGGCTACTTTGTGCACAAGGAACCCAAAATTTCCAGAATTCAAAACACCAATCTTTATTGCACAATTAATGAGTCCCAACTAACAACTCCGGCTTTGGTTTTATTTTTTTTATTTGTCTTTTTCCTTCTAGTTCTGGTGTCATAATGATAATGATAAAAGATTGAAGGCTTCCATCTTATAAACTCATAAGGAAAACAATCTCAGTCTTCACTCTCATCATCTTCATCTTTAGCATTAGCTATCTTCCCAATCTAATCCATTCCCTCCGGCTATGCTTTGGGTCTTCACCTCACCCCAAGATGTTTGTTGTTCCTCGTCAGTGTCATTGTCATCCGCGTCGTGGGAGAACAAAAGCTGGGTGCTGCAAAATCATGTTGGTCATGAAAGTATGAGGGTATTGATTGAGGAAAAGGAGGAAGAAAAGGAAGAGCAAGAAAAAGAAAGAAGCGGAAGAGGTGGGCACCCTGGAGGGCGTCTCAACCGTGCGGATGGGAGTGAAAAGGAGAAGGAAACCACCACAGGCCTTCATTGCAAGAGAAGACTTAATACCAAAAAAGACATTATAATGATGCATGAAATTCAAGCTGGAACAGACTTAGAAACTACTTGGAAACAAAGAAGACAGAGAAAGAATGTAATTTTGATTCCCAATAGGAAAGGACAATTATTTCATGAAACAAAGCCTCCTCCTCAGACTCGTGATGTAATAAAAACACCGCCTTTGAAAACCAATTCAACAATAATTTTATTGTTTTAAAAAATAAAAAAGAAAAAGGAAATGTTGGAAAAGGGTGGGTGATATGTCAATGGCAAAGTTTTTAAGAGAAGGGACCCATAGGTGTTCCCTCGGTGGCCAACACAGGATGTGAAACCATGGAAGAAAAGGACAAATGTTAGCCACCTACCCATTATTATCGTCTCCTTTTTTTCTTTTTTTCTTTCCAAATGAAAATTTTCCCCTAAAATTTCCAATTTTCAAGTATGAAAGCAAGAAAAGTGTAGTGGAAATTTGTTGCCCAAATAAGCTGACATTTCTTTGTAATGTGTTTTGTCGCATTACCAATCACCATCAAAATTCCAAGGAAAAGAAAGAAACCCAACGTTAGAGCACTTTTATTAAAACATTAATACTTTAATTAATAAATAATGATATCATGGGTAGAATTCAAATTCATCTTAACAAAAAAAAAAAAAAAAAAAAAACCACCAAAATTCTTCTAAAACCTTATCTACCTCAACATGTGAACTCACTCTCATCATCCCTAATAGATACATTTTAAAATCGTGAGATTGACAATATCAATTAGCACAAAATGTTTCGTTTTTCTCTCCAATCGACATGAGATCTTGCATAATTTATCTTAAAAACAAGGAAAACATACGAAACACAAAACTATTTTAAAAATTGCTAACGTTTTTATTCTTCCATCACAATAATTATTGAGAATTTAAATTGCGAAAATGAAGACATGTTGGGGGTAATTGACATGGTAGGTGGAGTAGTGGAGTATGAAATTTGAATTGTTGAAGTTGATGCTGAGCATGAACAGAAGTTTTTGAAGGAATCATATATATATATATATGAAGGGGGGAAAGGGGGGAAAGGGGGAAAAAGCTCAGCAATTCAGTGAGTTAGTGGCACAAAATGAGTAAGGGTTTTAAAAACTAGGAAACAATATGATTGGCAAGGAGATTTGGTTTGGTAAGAGCTGGTATCATAATGATCCAACATGTCAACTAATAATTGCTACTATAGCTTATCAGAATCACCAATTCCACACATTTTTCGATTAGCCAAAACATTTCATGCCCTAAAAAAGTTATTGCACCCAAAAAAAAAAAAAAAAAACTTATATTTCCAAATTTAATTTCAACCATAAAAGGAGGCTGATCATAAACTAAACAAAAATGAAAAAGAAAAGTCCAAATTTGTACCGATTTGATATTAATTTGAGTTGACCCACCATATAAATTTGTGGATGATTAGAGAAGTGAGGAAGTGTTGTAAGATGTGATAAAACATGAAGGAGAAGGAGAAGGAGTAAATAGTTGTAAGATGTGATAAACATGAAGGAGAAGGAGAAGGAGTAAATAGTTGTAAGATGTGATAAACATGCTGGAGAAGGAGAAGGAGTAAATAAACGCAGTTCATAACCCTGCGAGCAGTTAAATTCAGATTACAGTTAATTGTAATATGAATGAATAGGCAACACCAGAAACACTAAAATTTCATCCACTTTTGGTTTGGACTTTATGACAAGATGAGAGGTGAAGCAAGCTGTAATGCATTTAAAAGCACACAGTGGAAGCTCGAAATCCCCATTTTGAGTCAAAAAATAAAAAGAAAAGAGTGAGCCAAGTCAGCTTCTTCAAACAACTCAATCATGGAGGAGGAGGACCCATTTTCTTTTCTGACTATCTCTCTCTTTCTCCTCTCCTCCTCCCATAAACCCCATTAGTCCACACAGAGGAACCCACCTTTGTTTGGGTCCTCCCCCCGCCCCCCCATCCCCACACCCATTAGCAGACATGGCAGAGCACAACAAGAAGAAGCCATCACCACCAGCATCAACTCCAACAACAATAACTCCACCACCACCACCATCAGCAGATATCAAAGACTTCAATATCATAATTGCATCCAAAGATGAAAACAAACACCACCAACAATTGGCTCCTAAACGCACCTCCAACAAAGATCGTCACAAGAAAGTCGATGGCCGTGGCCGCAGGATCCGCATGCCTGCCCTCTGCGCCGCCCGCGTCTTTCAATTGACTCGCGAATTAGGCCATAAAACCGATGGGGAGACCATTCAGTGGCTTCTACAGCAGGCCGAGCCGTCCATCATCGCCGCTACTGGCTCCGGTACTATCCCGGCCTCCGCCCTCCACGCTGCTGGCGTCTCCGTCTCCGACCAAGAAACCTCCATCTCCGCTGCCCTAACCCCCAAACTCGATGGCGTCGCCAGGCCGAATTGGGCGATGATGGGAGCTAATTTGAACAGATCTCACATGGCGACGGCCGGATTCTGGCCTTCTCTGGGAGGGATCGGGACGGGTTTCGTGAGCGAGAATTCGGGTTCGATTATGCCGAAATTCGGGTTCCACGGATTCGAATTTCAGGGGATGAATTTGGGATCGATGAATTTCCCAACGATAATCGGGAATCAGCATCAGCAGCATGTACCAGGGCTGGAGCTTGGGCTTTCGCAGGAGGGAAATAATCTGAGAGGGATGTTGAATCCGCCATCGTATTCGCAAATTTATCACCAAATAGAGCAAAATCGGGACTCCTCTGGGGGCGGCTCATTGGAGCAGGACCAAGCTCCTGAAAAAGACGATTCTGAACAATCGAGGTGATGATTATTGAAGAAGACGACAGGGTTTGGGATTTGTAGGTTTGTGAAAGGAAGGAGACCCCAAAATGAGCACGACCAAGATAGGATTGCTTCATATTTGCGGTGTGTTTTTTTTAGTGTTGTTCAAATTCAGGTAATTTTTTCTTTTCTCCTTATTTTATTTTCTTTTGTAATTTTAGTCTTCATAAATTATCGAATTGTTCCTTGTGTTATTTGAACAAAGATTGAGTGAAAATCATTCATAATTGTATTTTTATGAATAACTTTTTCTTTTTCTTTTGGTTTTAAAGGGCAAATATACTCTTTGAATTTTTAGAAGAAATAGCGCCACCTTGGTTTAAGATCAAAATGAAAACCCAGAATTTGATGGGTTTATGGATAGTCTATTCTTGAGCATAAAAATAAGGTTTGTTTAAAAAATTTAAAAAAAAAAAATGGTTTTGATTTTAGGGTTTGATTTGCAACATGCAGGTGAAGTTTGAGGAGAAGAGTGGTTTGGTTGCAAGATTGCTTTGACTTTCATTTCTTCAATATGGAGGTGTGTGTTTTTTATAGAAATAATTTGTAGGAAAAAAAATGATTGTATTATTAGTAATTGTATGAAGCTGATATCAAAATTTGAACCATGATTGAATTTGATGCATGATAAAGCAAAATACCAATTCCATCCATCTCTATAATTCTTTAATGATTTCACCAATAAACCACACACATACCTATGATTACAAATTTAATTTTTGTAAATTTCCACCATCATCATTGCATCAAAACACAAACTATGTCAAGATTTTAAAAACCTAATTATTCTTAAATTAGGTTTCTAAATTCCTAATTATAATTGTTCATTGGTTAAGCCCACAATCCACAGGCCCATTTTTGGCAACCCAATACCCCCAAATCCACTCAACAATTTAATATCATAATTGTAATTTTATTCTATTTTGATAAACCAATTGGATGGATGTATATTAAAACAGGATAACATTAGCCTCCCATGCGTTCCCATCCAAGTGGGCCTGATTTTAGATTACGATATGGATAAAAGATTGAAATGGTTGGGAGCCGACCGGACCGGGCCATCATGGATCAATCCATATGCAACGCCTTCTCAAACATTCCTGTGGCATATGAATACCGTTAAAACTAATTGATGGGCTGTGAGTAGAGCACAAGGCCCATCTGCTCTCGGCCCATGTGCCTTACAACAGGCCCTTCCAACCTGTTACATATTTATTTTTAAAAAGAATTAAAAAGCCGTATTATGTATTTCGTGCTGGTGAATATTTTCAGTGTTTGGTGAATGCAGAGGAAACTATTTAATAAAATCTAATGCAATTGTGCTAACGGTCTTGAAGTTTCATTAATATTGTACGACATGATTGATCCACGTCATTTTTTCCCTTTTCTCCATAAAAAAAAGAAGAACATTACATTAGTTACTTAGTTGGAAATATATTGGACGTTATATAGGTCCCACAAAGATATTTAGTGGCGAAAGAGAATACGGAAGGTAATAAGTGTATATAAGACATATAAGTAATGTAGGAATGTGATAGACACATTTTTTTTATACTAGAAGTTGGAGAAAAGAATGCATAATATTTGAAAGGAAGAGTGATAAATATAATAGATGTTAAAAAGGGTTGGTATAAGAAAAGTAGGAAAGGAATGTATCTTAAAAAGTAAGAACAATATCATCCTTGCGGTTGCCAATGAGATGTTGACATGTGGGATATATATTCCAATATTTGATCTGGTAGATCGGGAAATTTACCCACTTTGGTTGGTTTGCATTTCCACCTTTAACAAACTCACCCTACTTATGCGCCATCCATGCATCGCACACAAGTCACACACACTAAAATCTCACCTAATAATGGTTTTAAGAAACTAAAACACAAAAGAAATTTGGAAGCACTTCTATTCAATTTTATTGTCAGCCTCCGAATTTCGAAATCTGAAGAATTAGATTTATGAGATCCGTTTTTATTGTAATTTAAGCTAAGAACTAAAATCATTTTTATATGAGTATCGTTGGTAAGTTATATTTTTTGGCAACTTGTTAGGCTATATGCTTGATATTGGGTGATTTGGAAGTTTTTAGGCTTAAATTTGGGTGCTAATAATGGTGGATGTTTGGCGATTCTTTTCTATTTAAGCTCTACAAATCAGAAAAAAAATATTAATCTGCTTCTACTTACTTATGTGAGTAAAGGAATTTGAATGAATAAGTAGGGCAGAAAAAAATGAAAAAATTGAACCGATAAAACACGTAAATTGAGAAAAGAAAGAAACATCAAAACCTAGAAAAAGAACGAACTTCCAAATATGGCGTAAAAGAAATAAGTGAGCGAAGAAGTAGTGTTTCCCGGCCACAAACACGCACTCAAACCACGCGTTTCACCAATCCATTTATTCAATTCAAAAATAAGTAATATAAATTGAGAGGATGAAACGGGGGTGCCTGCGCTCTCCAGCAAGGCTTGGGGTTGGCTGTATTCTCCAACTGCTGAATTATGAGCTACCATCCAATCCAGTTTTAACTCATTATTATATCATAATTTTAATTTCATATAACACGAGAGTTGAGTTAAAAGTTATAAATTGATTTTTGTAAATAGATAAATGAGTAAATAAGAAACAGGGTCCTTTCTTTGTCCTGATTATGAACTGAACAAATAAACTGAAATGTAGGAGGAGGAGGAGGAGGAGGAGGAGGAGGAGGAGGAGGAGGAGGAGGAGGAGGACAACCAAAATGGGAAGGAGAAGGCAGAAGGAGTGGATGCGGGCCCCACTCCAGGACAACACTGCCGTACATTCCACATCTTTTCTTTTTCTTTTTTATTTATTTATTTATTTTCATGAACAATATGTGGGAGGGAGTGATGTGAACGAGAGCAGAGAGAGCATTTGCAAAAGGTATTTCACAGAAACCGGGAGACATTGATTTGTTTTGTTTTTCCCCAAATTAAAAACTTGCTCTTCCTCTTCTTCCCCAAATCATGGATTGTTGGTCCCTTTCTCACCCTCTCGACGACGAGTTCGAGAAGCTCGTCAATCGCATGAACCCTCCAAGGTCAATCTTCCCTCTCTTTCCTCTGTTTCTTCTCTCTCTCTCTCTCAACTGCCTTTTCTGTTTCTCCTCTCTCTCAAATGGGTTTCCTTTTCAGGGTCACCATTGATAACGATTCCTGCTCAAACGCCACTCTCATCAAGGTCTTTTTTCAACTTCAATTTCTCTTTCAACATCTCACCCTTTTCGCTTCTCATCGCTTTCACTCCCCAATTTTTCAGGTTCATAGCGCCAATAAGCGAGGGAGTTTGCTGGAAGTGGTTCAGGTTCTTAATGATTTGAATTTCACCATTAGACGGGCTTACATTTCTTCTGATGGCGAGTGGTTCATGGATGGTCAGCTCTCACATTTTATTTTTCTTGCCCTTAATATCCAATTTTCATTCAACTCCAATTCATAACAAAAACAAAAACCAAATTATTCATTGTTTTTTTTTTTTCTCTTTTTTCTTCAGTGTTTCATGTAACGGATCACCGTGGGAACAAGCTCTCTGAAAATGGAGTTGCTGAGCGTATTCAACAGGTGAATTTCAATGCCCACTTTTGCTTGAGCTTACAACTCCATTTCAAATGTTTCCACTTGACTTGTGAGGAACTATGGGAATTGGAAACGGGATTCTTATTCTGGATTAGCCTTTCATACCAATTTTGTGTGATTTTAGTCTCCGCTCCCCTCTTTTTCTACTTTTTCAGCTAATTTTTCATTCAAGGGACAGAAGGTTTGAGAAAGGTGTTGGAAGTTTTATGTATCATCTATAAGAATTTGTAATGACTTCTGTTGGCTGTTGTTTGACTTGTTCTAAGGTTAAGGTTGTATAAGGTGTTATGTTTGTGCTAATGGATGAATTTTATTATTTCAGTCACTCGGGCCAAGGGCTCTGAGTTTCCGTTCGTTGAGGTCGGTCGGTGTTCAAGCTGCTGAGAAACATACAACCATTGAATTGACTGGAAGAGATAGGCCTGGTTTGCTCTCTGAGGTTTTTGCTGTTCTAGCAGACCTCAAATGCAATGTGGTAGCTGCAGAAGTTTGGACTCATAATTCGAGAATGGCTTCCGTTGTGTACATCACTGACGAGGCTACTGGCCTGCCACTTGATAATACCGACCGGCTTGGTAAGATAAAGCGGCTTCTCCTTTACATCTTGAAAGGGAATCGGGATAAGCGCAGTGCCAACACTGCTGTTTCTGTGTGTTCTACTCACAAGGAAAGGAGGCTGCATCAGATGATGTATGAAGACCGTGATTACGACCGAGATGACTTGGACTGTGGCTCAACAAGTGATCACAGAAAACCCCTTGTAATTGTAGAGAACTGTACCGATAAGGGATATACCGTTGTGAACTTGAGGTCTCCCGACTGTCCAAAGTTGCTGTTTGATACCGTTTGCACGCTAACAGATATGCAGTATGTAGTGTACCATGCTACTGTCATTGCTGAAGGACCAGAGGCTACTCAGGTAACTTCTTATCCGTTCATCGCCATTGTCGATGTTTCGTGATGCATTTGGTGTAACTCATTGGACTAAGCATTTGTGGAGCAGGAGTACTATATCAGGCATATGGATGGAAGTCCTATTAGTTCTGAAGCAGAGAGGCAAAGAGTAATCCATTGCTTAGAGGCTGCCATTCGAAGGAGAAACTCCGAGGTGATAACCGATATTGATTTACATTTCTTGCCTAAGATTTGTGTTCTCGATTGGAGTCTTGTGTGATTTTACTCTGCCAAATACTCAGGGTATAAGACTAGAACTTTGCAGTGAGGATAGGGCTGGACTCCTTTCCGATGTGACTCGAATCTTTAGAGAAAACGGTCTTTCAGTCACTCGAGCTGATGTTACCACTCGCGGTTCTCAAGCTGTCAATGTGTTCTATGTAACTGATTCATCTGGGAGTCCAGTCAAGATACAGATGATTGAAGCAATTCGAAAAGAGATTGGCCTCACTATACTCCATGTCATAGACGACGAATCCTGCACAAAATCTCCATCTCCAGAAAGCAGTAGATTTTCGCTCGGTAATCTTTTTCGATCAAGATCAGGGAAGTTTCTTTATAACTTGGGCTTGATAAACTCGTGTTCTTGAGGAAATTGGGTTGGTAAAATGTTAGAAATGTCCATGTGAAGGAATGGGCTTAGAGAGTGCTCAAAATTGTAACACAGTTTATGATATGAACCAAGAGACATCAATCATACAATATGCTTCAATGAAGATGTGAAGAAAAGATTGTCAAAATTATCAAAAGATGTTTCAATTCATGCTACATTGAAGAAGAATAAAGTTTGATTGTTGATAATTTTGACAATCTTTTCTTCACATCTTCATTGAAGCATATTGTATGATTGATGTCTCTTGGTTCATATCAGTTTAGATCAATCCCTTCGTTGATCTTTGCAAGTTAAATTTCAACTTGTACAGTAGTATTAATCATCATGTATATGAAGAATTTACAATTGCTCTAAATATGTAATAAGTCTATACCATATCATAACAAAGCAAACATTTGATTCCATGGAATGACTATACAGAGATTGGA